TAGGGATGGGGCCTTTATATAGGCACAAATTTATATCAAAGCCTAATCTACCTAGCGATCAAATAAAGCAATAAAATATTAAGTGTCCTAATTATAATACTAGTTGGAAACTAAGTATCTTGGTGTGCACTCCAAGTCTTCCAACCGCCTCATGCCTTCGGCCCTTCGCGCGCATCGCCTCGCACGCCCTAGTCCTTGAGGACTAGGGCACCGCCTTCCTCCTCCGCGCGTGCACGCCCGCCCAGCGTGTCGCGCACGCCCATGCCGCTGGCCGCCTTACCGTGCACGTGCTGCTCCGCCACTCCGCATTCCGCTAGGAGTATGGTCTCGCGCATCGCGCGTGCTCCCCCATCCAGCGTATCGCGTGCGCTTTCGCCCCCGGCTGCCTCCTCGCGCGCATGCCTTCCCACCATTCCGCACACCTCGAGGTATGAGGATGCGCGTGCTTCCTCGCCACGCGAACCTTCCGCGATCGCGCTGGCCAGCACCGCGGCCTGCGCGTCCTGCCCACTTTCGCCATGCACGCCATCTGTGCGCACCCATCCCATATCCATGCGTGGCCCATTCTCTCCTGTTAATGCGCGTACTTCCGTCGTCAACCGTGCTTGTCTCCTGCGTGCATGGTAGGCTCGACTTGCGGCGTTCTTGAGCTGCCTAGCCACTTTCGCATCATTCCCGTCCCCTTCAAGTGAGTCCTTGTCCTCAAGGATAAGATTCGGGAACTGATCGCGCATCTCTTCAAGATCTTCCCACGTGGCTTCTTCAGATGGCAACTCTTCCCAGATTGCCTCGGGTACCGGTAGAGGTTGTAACAGCCCGCTCGGTCGTCGTGAGTCAGACTTAGTGCGCTGACAATCGTCGCACCGTGCTATGTAATCTCAGACGGTATTCTGTTGTCCGGGCCATAAGAAGGTGTTGGCTATTCTCATCCACATGTGATAGATACCCGAGTGGCCTCCAATTTTAGAGTCGTGGAAGTGTTGCATGATCTGCTCACGTAACTGCCCACCGTCGGGAACGAATACTCGGCCCCGGTGTAGAAACAGACCATTATGCAACTCGTAGTCGATAGCAGTTGTCTTACCTGTTTCTATCGATTGGCGCAGCTCCTGGCAATAGGTGTCCTCTACTTGCGCCTTCCTGATTTCTTCCCAAATAGTCCAAGCTGGCCCAGTGATAGCATTCAGCTCGGCTACATCTGTTCGTCGGGATAATGCGTCAGCCACTGCATTCTGTCGACCCGGTTGATAGATTATCTCGAAGTCAAACCCCATAAGTTTAGATACGAACTTCTGCTGCTCGGGGGTAACAATCCTTTGCTCCAGTAGATTCTTAAGCGGTTGCTGGTCGGTCACAATCTGAAAACGTCGGCCTAATAGATAAGGCCTCCAGCACCTTACAGCCTCGACAACTGCTAGCATCTCCTTTACGTACACCGAGAGACCCAATCGTTTAGTGCCTAGGGCCTTGCTGAGATAAGATAAGGGTCGTCCCTCTTGCACTAACACAGCTCCAATACCAATGTCACTCGCATCGGTGTGTACCTCGAACAAGACATCAAACCTGGGCATGGCGAGCACTGGCGTTGTAGTCATGGCTTCTTTTAGTTTCCCAAACGCCTCCTCGCT